TTTCAACTGCTTTCCTAGATGGAACATTGCTAGCTTCTTGCTGTTCTGACATTATTTCCATGGCAGATGTTAGGGCAAACTATATTCCTTGGTTTTACCAGTTAAGACTTTCACAGCTAGGATCTGCCATGCCAGATACATTGAGTTGACTCATCCTCATTTCCTACATATTCCATGAGGAAGGAAGAAGTTCCACTCAAGACAGCTTCCTTCCAGAACTATTGCAATGTGGAATTAACTCCCAAGGGCATACTTCCTTCATCACTACAAACTTAACCTCTTCAAGTCGAGTCAACCATTATTTATCCTACATATCCTCATAATATACAACCTTTGCTCCTTCCATATATGCACTTACAAAATCCCCATTCAGTAACCCTCTGCCTTGAGTGGCACCTAGGCCTTGTGTTAAGTGACCAATAGTGTAAAGAAAAAAAAAAATTTTTTGTTATGAATAAACAAAGACTAAGGCAATTATTTCAGTGTTATCAATGAAAATGATGAAATTCTTTTTTCAAGATAAAACCCATCAAAATTTTGTTCCAACTTTGTATCCTATCCTAAAATTCATTATAAATGTTGACCTGTTAGGACCAACCTGGATGCAAATTTTGCAAGCTTAACTTAATGTCTTCTCACATTGTTGAGAAAAATGTGGAAATTGTCAAGCAAAAGATTTTTAAACAGAATATTGTCTGGAAGGCATCTTTAAAAGTTAATAAACTTTCTCTCTGCATTTGTTTTTTTAGCATGTCATTCGACTGCTGGTCAGTCACTTCTAATTGTGGATCGAATGGAAAGTTCTTAATGCTACATAAACAAAAGACATTTGAAAAAAAAAACACTATACATAATATTAAAGGAAAATTAATATGAAAATTATTTCAGAATAATAGCATATTCCATATGGTCAGGAGTCTCATGAAAATATCATAGGCAGTTGTAGTTTGTCAATTCTTAATTTACATAAACATCAATAAAGTCTAATTAAAATAATATGACTCAGGGAATTACTTGAAACAATGTTTGTTCTTGTTTTTTAATCATATTTTGCTTTCTAGTTATTTTTAACTCATAGGTTTTTTAAATGTGAAAGATATGCATCTTCCATCAGAAATTGATTTCTTTCTTTCAATGGGAACATGACAAAAATGGAACCAACAAAACCCAACAAATAAATAAAAGGCAATAATAAAGTTGCTGCTTCAAATAAACCTCTGCATTTTAATGTCTTGTCTCCAAATTATTAACACATATCATGAACTAGTTTGCTATTTATGACATGAAGTTATAAGCATTAAAGATTTCAGTTTATTTTATTCAAATATAAAATTGAAATAAAAAAGACTTTGCACAATATGAAAGATATCTAAGATACTTCCATTCTCAGAAATTAGTAAAAGACTAATTTCACTTCATACATCAACAAAAATACAAATTTGCCAATAAGACTCCTTTGTATTGGACTTAAAAGTCTTCAGCACTTCAGTTGACTTTAAATAACTGGAAATGGAGAAAACAACATGGAAAACCATAGAGAAACGTATAAAAAGCTTCTCTATGGTAGGACATTTGGATATGTGAGGTGACTTTACACAACCTAGAATTTAATATGTACAATAGAAAGTAGAAATTAATGAATCAAATTTTTATTATTTTGTTTTTTTTGGCTTCTCTAACAGAAATGTATCTTATATTGTAAAAAAAAAAAAAAATTATGTAAATAAAACATGGGATTAGAATAAAAACAACATGAATACACCAAGATTATAAGTTTATTTATGATGATATACCTTACTTTTATTCAAGAGATTTTATATATTTTTAGAATATTTCAGAAAAAAAAAAGTTCAATATTATTATTAATTTTACTTCATCTTATTAATGTTGCTTTTGATTACAACACTGGATCAGTAAACTCTTTGCTGAGTGCAAAACTTTACTATTGCTTGGTATTAAAATTAAGATGGTGGAGAGAATTGGAAAGAAGGAGGTGGCAGAATGACTACAGGTTTGTATTTTGCTTCATCATCAATGTTTCTATGACCAAAATGGTTAAGGTGACATCCATAAAAGACTAGCTTATGTGGTGTGGTTTGCAAATTCAAGTTTCTTTGGAAGCTACAGCCATAGTTTCAATTTCAAATTGTTTGCTTTAGTTACCAAAGAATATGAGAGACTCAGATTGTTGTGCTAAAAAGCCACAATAAGAAATAAAATAATAAATATTAACAATAGAGATATACATCTTAAATCTTTATTAATATTTCACGCACATATATATATATATATATATATATAGTCTAGACAATTTCATTTAGTCTCTTTTTATTTATGGTTTCATCACTTTGGTTATTAAATATCCCACATTGTGATAATAGATCTGTCAAGAAAGGTGAACCTGAATGTAAATTTACTGTAGATGATCTAGCAATTAAAGCACTTTTTACACATCTCACTTAGTAAATTGCTTTTACTTTTAGAGTAGCATTTCTAAAATCCAAATTATGGGCAGAATTATTACAATGAATGACTAATGCATTGAGTGTGTTGCTTTGTAAAAGATCCCTTTTGTGCACATATAATCTTTTATTTAAATTCCTTGAGGTTTCTTCTATGTATCCCTTGTGGCAATTATTACAGGTGATAGAGTAAATTCCTCCTTTAAGTTTTGTATTAAGTCTTTTATTGTTTTAGAAATAGTAGTAACAAATTTTATGTTAAGCTTAGATAAATTCTTTTCAATTGTAATAGAGTTAGTAGGTAGAACAATATATTTTGAATCATGTCAGAAAAGGTCCACTTTTCTATTTTGAAATATTTTACCAACCTTTTGTTTCACATTGAATATGAATTAATTAGGGTATTGTAAGTGGTTAAAAGTATTTCTCCTCTTCATGTAAATACTGAGGGCTACAAATTCTGAGATCATCTACAGTAAATTTACATCCATGCTCATGCAACATTTCACCTTTCAGATGGCAGATCTATTATCATAATGTAGGATATTTAATAACAAAAGTGATAAAACATAAAAAAGAAAAAGAAACTAAATGAAATCAGCTGGACTATATATCCAAAACATATATTAAAAAATACAAAAAAACTTTTGAATTCTCAGCATCTTCCCTCCTACTTGTGCATGTGTAATCACATCAACATAAATATCACTTTAGTCTGAAGTTCTAAAGGACGAAACGCATCATATGAAAACTTTTCCAGTCATAATTTTCCCTAAAATTCTTCTTGATATATAAAAATTTATATATTGTCTAATATATCTCAATTCTTCATTATTATTTTATTACTAATTTTATTCCTTCTTATTGCAGCTTCTAACCACAACATGGAGTCCATATACTCTTTGACCACTAGAGCAAACAATTTGGAATTGAAAATAGACAATATAGCAATCATCTAATATATAAGGCAAGTCAAAATTTAAATAGCCTGGAGTCACTAATTTCCTTTTTATCTTTCAATTTCTTTCAAATTGTCTTAAAAACAAATTTGACAAGTTTAAAAAAAATTTCAAATAAAAATAAAATTAATGGTAAAAAGTTAGCTAAATAAGTTCAATAGTGCAACTTACAATTTGTGGCCTTTATGAAAAGCACTTTAGAAAAGTTTACATATGCCTACACTGTTTTATTTTATAGAAGCTAATTCTGTCAGCTCTAAGTATTGTTTTTTATAAATACTTTGAAAACAAATTAGTATTAATTAAAGGGAGAGAGTTATAATAATAATAAAAATAAGAAATGAACACAATATAAATTTAAATTCTTTTCTTATACTTTCTAACTGTAGAGTATAAGACAACTTTAATGCTGTTTGAATTTAGTAAAGTATCTTTAAAGTGTTTATCGAAAATGTGATGTCAGGTCTTTACTCTGGGCATCTGCTGGGAGTGGGGAAATAAACAGGTTATTTGTTGCCCCTTTAGTCAACAGGCCATTTGCAACCCTCCTACCAGATGATCAACAAGTCATTTGCACTTCTAATCCTTTATACTTCTACCCAGTAAAAAGACACAACTTCATATTAAAAAGACTATTGTTACTTACAAGTGCTACTGCAGTAGTGTTGCCAGTAAGACATATTCCAAATATTTCTTGGAATAGTAGCATATCTTTACTTCCCATAAAAATGGCAATGAACGCCCTCGTGTATTGCAATAAAGATGAAAAACAGAAATGTGGAATATTATTTATGAAATGAGGTATGACAAGGATTTCAAAAGTTTGCTATATAATTTTCTACAAAATCTGTCCCATAAAAGTTGTTACATTTGCATTCATATTTCATCTATTAAATGTAACAACTGTTATGGGACAGAGATAGTATTTTTTTTTAAATCTGAGTATTATCCAACAAAAAGAATATACTAAAATACTAGGAAAAAATTAAAATAAAAAGAAAAAAGATAACAGTTTGAAAAATTAACAAAAGAAAAAAAATCAATACAGAAAATAAAATAAAGAAAAATGAGTGTAGCTTACAAAAAAAAAAAAAGTTATATTTCAGTAAATAATGCCCTGAACAGATGAACAAAATGTTACATGATTAGAGTTAAATAAAATGACAAAGGTTCAAAAATAAATTGCGTCTTCAAAACAAAATTATTTTTGGCTATATTTTAGATTTTGGGCCTGTAATAAAAGAAAATGTACACAAAGGGTTTCTACTGATCTTTATTCAGCTGTGCCAAGTAGGGGAAAAATACCCTGAACTGTAATATTGCAATTGAATAGAAACAAAATATACTAGAAAGTATTTTTGTTACATTCAATTATATTTTTACATTGAAATTTTTGAGCATTGTGCGAACATAATACTTTTAACAATAAATTAAAACATTAGAGACTCCCCCTGCAAAAAAAAGAAGAAAAAAAAAACATGAATCATTCAGACATCTCAATAATATACATTTATAAAAACTGAGAAAATAGACAAAAACTGTATAAAAATAAAGATTCACTTAAGAGGCTAACTTTCTCTCAAGCAAGGAATGAACGTTTTAAAGTTGGTGCAGGCATAAAACCAAGTTTGCTTGAAGCTGAAGATCTGCAACTTGTACCAGTTCGTGCATATTTGAACTTATTTAAAGAACTTTTTGCTGTTGCCGCTGCTGCTTTAAAAGCTGTGCTCCGTCGTTTAGTTGTTCCTTTGGAAGATGCTTTCTTCCTGTAATTACGTTTCCGTCTATAGCCCTTCTTCCTAGGTGTACCTGTTCGTTTTTTACAAGTTGATGAATTGAAGTAAGGAGATTCCCATTCATCAATGGTTTCCTGACTGAAGGTAGATGGTTCTGGTTCATCTAAATTAGCATACATCATGCAATACTTGTTGGTAATTTCCAAGAAGCGCTCACCTCCATATTTCATTATCTTGTGCAATGTCATTCCATCAATCTTATCCTGCATCTCCTCAACAGTAAGAGGAACTTCAGCAGCCATAGAAAGGAGCATAGGATTCGGAAAGACAGATGCATAGTTTGTAATGTGACGTTCTTGGGCGATCTGTTTGGCCAGTTCCACAAGTTCCTGGTAACAGTCGTCCATAAGTTTCTTCCGATCGGTTACAGATTCAGTACCAGTGTTTGTGACAGTAGCTTTCTTGCCACTGTGAACTGGAAGATTGACTTTTATTTTGTTTTCGATAACATCTTTAGCACGTGGGCCAAGTTTTACATAGCAGACTGTATGATCCATAGCTGTAACAACAAGTTCTTCAACTAAAATCTGATCTATAACCAACTTACGCAGAAGTCGGGTCGCATCTTGGAGGACATAGCTGTTACCTCGTCCATGAAGTGAATGGCGATCATGGCACAAGCTAGTGACTGCTTTGCTCTGAGAGCCTCGGAAGACCTCCACTAAATGGATCAGTGTGCAATTGTATTTCTTTTGGTGGCAAATCTCACGCACAAAACGAATTATGTGTTTTACATCCTCAGTAACATCACGGATATGGAAACTTACACTAGATGAACAGTTATCACAAACTGCACCAGGGTATTCATTGCAGTATTCACGATCAAAATCCTTTTCCCCAAAATACTGCAAAAGCTGATCCCGTCGACAGTCAGCCTTGTTTTCACAATAGCGCACCATCTGGAATAAATTGTCAATGTGCACCTTTTTAGCCTCGTAAGAAGCATTAGTATCCAGGTCTATTAAACGCCGCAACCGTTTTACATCTTGGTAGTTGTACAAAAGAATACAGAAAGCCAAGAGACCGTCACGTCCTGCACGGCCAGATTCCTGATAATAGCCCTCTACTGATTTGGGCATGGAGAAATGGATTACAAAGCGCACATCTGGTTTGTCGATGCCCATTCCAAAAGCAATGGTGGCACAGATAACTTTCCATTGGTCTTGCAACCATTTCTCCTGAGCTTGAATTCTTTGCTTATCTGATAGGCCTGCATGATATGGCAGAGCTCTGATACCTTTTTTACACAGATTTTTGGCTACCTCATCACACTCCTTTCTTGAAAGACAGTAGACAATGCCACTTTTGTTGTTGTACTTGGTTTGAATGAGTTTAGCAACTTCATCCACTGCTGATTTGGGCTTCTTTTCCTCCACAATGAACTTCAGATTTGGTCGATTGAAGCTCTTCACAAACCATTTAGGTTTTTTCATTCGCAGTTGATGTATAATATCCTTACGTACACGAGGTGTGGCAGTAGCAGTCAGTGCCATCATAGGGACATTGGGAAATTTCTCTCGCAGCAGACAAAGGCGTTTGTAGTCGGGCCGAAAATCGTGACCCCACTGACTGACACAGTGAGCTTCATCTATGACAAATCGGTCAAGTAGATTTCTCTTATTTAAATTTTCAAAAACGGACATTAATTTAAGACTTGCAGAAATTTTTTCTGGAGTAGTGTAAACAAGTTTCAAACCTGGCTCCTTCATTGATAACTGCATGTAGGCAGAATGCATTCCATCTTCACTAACATTGCCAGCCAGGGAAGCTGCTGGAATATCTAAGGAAGTCAAGCGTTCAACCTGATCCTGAATGAGTGCTCGCAGTGGTGATATGACAATGCTGACACCTTTACCCACAAGGGATGGTAACTGGTAACAGAGACTTTTACCGCCACCAGTTGGCATTAGAATGAAACAGTCATATCCAAGTAGAGCTGCATTCACAGCATGAAGCTGACAACTTCGAAATTTTTTTAATCCAAAAAGCTGTTTGAACATAGTTAACATAATATCACTATGTGGGAAATTGAAACCATCAAACTCATTTGTTATACCACTGTCACCATCAATTGCAACATAGCTTCTTTGGATATTTGATACACTCTGAGAAGCCACAGGCTCAACAGGACAAGGATTCTGGGTCAAAATTTCACTCAATTTCATTGATTCTTTAGCTGATGTTGGTGAGTTTTGACTTGTATTGCATGGAGAATAGTCTTCATCATTTGGTTCCCAGTCCTCTTCATCAGGAAACTCATTCATGTTTGATGTTGAATGATGTATTTTAGATATTTCTTTGTTAAAAGTATTACTGTTGTTAGAAATAATTTTCTTGCTAGAGTTTAAAGTGGGTGTTTTGGTTTTTGACATACTTTCAGAAACTTTGTAATCAAACTGCATGCTTTGGTTCTCATCCAAAGATGCAAGGAGATCTTCATCTCCATCTGTGAAATTTTCCTCATTTTGGAAACTTAAAGCTTCAGCAGGATAACTACATGATTTTTGCATATTGTTCAGGACTGACAAATGCGACTGAGTCATAGGTGAATCTCTTTCAAAAAAGCTATCCCCACATGGAATTGGAGAACTTTTTATGCTGCCAGAAATTGATGAAGTAGATCTATTTAAATTTGCTAAAGGAGTACTAACTTTAGTAGGTTTTGAAGAAACTTTCTTTTTTAAGGTATTCTTTGTTACAGTGGAAGTTAAATTTGGAGTATTTTTCACTGGGCTTGGTTTACCATCAATTGAAGTTGCATTGGGCTTTTTGGATGATTGGCGCTGAGACTCAGTTTTGTTCTTTAATATTTTACGAGTGAACAATAAATTCTGTAAGCGTTCATAGTTTGAAGACATCAAAGACATAAGATCAGCAGAACTAATTTGTTCAATTATGGTGCATATCTCATCCATAGTCATAAATAAGAACATACCAAGTTTTTTAACCTCCTCAGGCGTTAAAGAATCCTTTTGCAACAGGGGGTCCTGGCGTATATTAGCAAGTTCTTTTATTAATTTTGATGGATAGGAAGACATATGAGGAGATGATGATGGAGGTGTTACTGATGAAGGTTGAATTTTCTTTTTGTGTGGGGTTGTTACAGGCTTGTGATTCTTAATAGGGGATTTATTTTCAGAGTGGTGGTCATCCTCCTCCTCCTCCTCTTCATCATCATCCTCACTTTCAATGATACATTTCTTTTGTCGTTTACTGGTTCTAATTACATCTTCGTCTTCGCTGTCAGGTATGGTAGTTACCTGAGAAGATTGAACAGAAGGAGCATTATTATTTGAATTTTTGTTTGTTGATTTAAAAGTGAATTTGCGTGTTGAAGAAGGTGTCGCCGCTGTCGTAGATTCATTGTTTTTGAACAGACCCTCACCGCTGGAGGTATTCTGTTTCTTAGATTTAGGCGGAGATATGATACTGGAGTTCATTTCAAAGTCGTCATCATCGGAAAAATTTATTATTAGATCTTGTGTAAAAGAGGAATCGCTTTTTTCCGAACTACTGTTGCTTTCACTCGATATTTTTCGTTTGTTAGAAAGTGAGGTGAAGACTGGCGACAAATTTGTTGAATCATCAGGATCAGATAAAGTTTTGGGGGGCAAGGCAGAAGAACTTCGGCGCACTGCCGTCGTTGGTTTGAACTTAGGTTTAGCGAGAGGTAAACTATACGCCAGACTAGACAGAGTTTTTTGAACCATTCGTTGAGGTTTCGATATTTGGCCACCCGAGACATTCTGAGTTGATCGTGGCACTACATCAGTGTTTAGTTTCGGTTGAGAGCTTTCCGACACTCCGAGTGCTCCTGTTGTTAAAAGGTGAGTATTATTTATTTTTGCCGAACAGTTTCGAGACGAATTTTGATTAAATATTGGTGCATTTTTTGTTATTTTAGAAATGGTATTATTATTATCTGTGTTTCCTAAAGAACTATCAGTAGATTGCTTAACTATGTGATCAAGCATTGTATCGCTCGTCGTACTCGGTAAATTTGAAAGCATTGAACTTACAGCCGCTGATGGAGAGGATTTCATGAGACCGACAGTCCGTTTGAACTTGAAGCCACTCTTGTGGAGAAATTTGTTGTTCCCTTCATCCATCTTTTTAGTTACAATATATCAAATAACGAGATAATTTGTTAACGTGTTTTACGATCCATGTATTATTCCCGCCATCTTTGTTAACACCGGAAACTTTTCAAGGGACATAATAAAATTCACGTTTTTAAAGTTATTTCCCTTATTATATTTGCTTGATAATTTTTTCAATGAGCATAAAAAATACACATGTATAAATAATAAATAAAATAAACAATTAAATAAATCATGTGTATTTATTCTTTTATATATGCTTTCAGATAATTCAATGAAATTTAAATATATTTAAATAATTAAACTTTATAAATTACAATGATAAAACCTTTTTGATAAAAGAATTGAGAAATGTTCCATAATTTGTTTTACAATTTGGATGCTGATTATATGCAAGTTTGTCACACCTAGCTCTGACATGTGGAAAGTCTTTGATGGATAGAATTAATTTCCCTGTATTCTGCTTATGGATGGTTAATGATAAAAAGCTTCTTGGTGCTCTTTGATTTTTTTACCAAATGGATTTGAATTAAGATGGTACAGATTGGAAATCAAAAGAGGTTAGAAGATATAATCTTCATAGCAAAATTCAATATTTTTATCAATATTCAACTATTAATATTTAATGTAGTTTTAGTGAATTTGTATGGATTTAAGCACCATTTCCCTTGGAGCAATAGAAATGAATGCAGAAAGAAGAAAAATGTGCAATTTTATGCATAGTTATTCTAAATATTTCTAACTTTTTTTCCGTTTTTTATGCATATATCCTAACAAGCACAAATCATCCATAATTATTACATACAATAACATTTACATTTTAAAAACATATTTTCCTATACAAACCACTCTTGTGGAGAAATTTGTTGTTCCCTTCATCCATCAACACAAATAATAATGTTCCTTTGGGACAGACTCACATAATAAAATAATTGAGAACGAGGTTGGCCTGCATTACAAGATAGCTTGAAAAAAAAAAAGAAAAGTTGCATTATTTTACTTTGATTAAACCAAATTCATATTTGTAGAAAAACATACTACTACTACTTTTACTTCAACAACAATAGTAATAACAATAACAATAAATATTTTTCCATGCATTAATTCCCAATTTTAACTAATAATTTTAGCTCCAAAATTTTATTAGCCTAATTTCCACAAACAATATTTCAAAGTACTTGTATGTTTGTAAAGGGTTACTTTGCAGTAAGATATCCAAAAATAAATATCAAGTCAAATTAGTAATTAGTAAGATTAAGTAAGGTGATTTGATCTTTTTTATTGCAAAGTAATTACATTATTAAATGAAGCTTACAACTAGGAAAATCCAGCATGATAATTTTATCAAGACTCGCTCCGTTTCATATAACCTAACTGACATTCTTCTCTGAACAATCTCTAACTATTCCAAATCTTTTAAAACATCACTACATATCAAATTATTTGTGTTATTCTTTCTTATGACATTTTTAAAGATTTATGAAATTTTTGAATTTGTAGGTCTGATGAATTGGATCATAATTACGATTCCAATGTAATAAATTATAACCATGGAATATTAGTGTTTAAGCCTTTTTATTATATTCTTACTCTGTCCTGGACATTGAGTTCTACCTGGATTCTATTCTCTTGGAATTTTTTATATATATATGTATGTGTATGTATGTATTTATATATTTTATATATGTATATTTATATTAACCACTAATATTATCTACATACAAATATATATATATATATATATATAGCATAGAAAATTAGGATATCAGCTGATTCTGCTACCTTGGTTTCAACCTTTTGGTGTCTTCAGAATGATTTTGGTCAATTGATTTCCTAATGTTTTATTTTTTAAAAATAAAAATTTATGAACACTATATTTAAAAAAAATGAATGAATAAGCACATGACATGAGGGAGGGGAAAATCAAGTGTATTGGAAATGTATTGGTGGGGAATTAAATAAAATATACATACATTCTTCTTATCCCACTTCAAATGAACTCAAAAGGAACATTTTAGTATGTATACAACAAATCATAATTTCCAATCTCTGATTCAAAAGGTTTTTTTGGTCTGGAAATGTTATTATAGCTAATTTTTCTTGTTGACAAAGGTTGCAGATGTTGCTATGATTGTTATGAGATTTTGCTTTTTAAAAAAGTTGACAAAGAGAGACTTTTTGATGATTAGCTGAAACCAAAGTTCTCGCCATAAACTCTGAGCCTATTTAAATCAAAAGGATATAAAACCTGTTACCTTAAGGCTACCAGCAGATGGAACTTGAAGGCACAGAGGAGACAAGAATGACCCCAAGAGAGGACGGAACAAAAGAATACAGTCATGTGTGACGCATGAAGAAGGAGTCAACAGGTCATCTACTACTGACATTTCTGACCTGTTAAGAGCTGAGAGAAAACACAGTAGATTGACATTGACCTAATTTCTCACATTACTACTACCCCTACCAGAGTCTTACTTCAAAATGAACGTTTCTTCAGACTACTATCAATATCTGCTTTATTAACAAACTTTTTGCTATGCTGAATACCAAAGGGTTAATTCATCACTCTAAAAAAACAAATAAATAAATTATTCCTTTTAACCCTTGAGTCAGTTCATTTTATTCCCAAAGTTCCCGATAAAATAATTATCCTACTACCTATCCACATGGCAACATTTAGATGTGAACCCAGATACCACAAAATTTTTGTTTAGAAGTACCAAATAACATCTGAAAATATCTATGAATTTTTGCTGATAAAAAATTTTAAAATTCTCCATAAATTGAAAATTTAAATAATTAATTTC